CGTGCATCTAGACAACCATGTCTCCAAAGCAAGTTGGTGCTGCTCGACTACTGATGGAAACGCCTGGTTCGGAGATACTTACTTCAACGTAAGCAACTGGCACAGAGGTTGGAAGTATATGGCCGAGCACGTAAGCTACAAACCCTTCCCATCTTCAGCCCTCAGGGCTAACGCAAATCCGATACAGGTCAAAACCTTGCCCGCCGTAAAAAGCATTGGCATGCGCAACGAACTTCGCAGCCCTGATGACAACACGACACTTGCAGACGACACCTACAACTGGGAAACATGGTACAGCAACATGGTCGAGAACGCGAACCAAGTTCACTCCGTCAACTCAGACCTACTCCTCTTCTTCTCAGGTCTCAATTACGATGTCACACTCTCACCGATACCGACGGCCTCAGACCTAGGCGACGGTACCGTCTTCAAGAAGAGCGATTTTGACTTTGAAGATAAAATTGTACTAGAGCTTCACAACTATGACTCATCTGCTACAAGCTGCAGTAGTCTCTCATCTAGCTTGTTGAGCGATGGCTTCGATGCCCTAGAGACGGACGACTCGAGCATCGTAAATGTGCTTCCGGTCGTGATGACAGAGTTCGGGTACGAGCAAGATGATTCCACCTATACGGAAGTATATGCCTCATGCCTGAGGGAATGGTTACCTAGCGTTCATGCCGGGTGGATGATTTGGGTGCTTTCGGGCAGTTATTATGTCCGACAGGGAATACAGGATTATGATGAGACATGGGGTAAGTTTACCGTTTCTTATCCTTGCTGTCAGCAGTCCGCGTTAGGTGACTAACTATCATCACCAGGTCTTCTAGATCATACGTGGTCTGGTTGGCGATCAACCGAGGCAATTGATAATGGCATCATTCCTATGGTCAACGCAAGTCTGGGATAGGTTTGGGATACTAATTGACCTCGTCGGTATATTGGTGTCCATGTAACGAAGGGCTTTGAACTTGGTCCTGCGAGAGTCCAGCAATAGCAATCTACTCATTTCCATATCACTCTACACAATCTGTATTTCTTATGTAGTGTGTATGTGTGTATCTATGTATGTGGGTTCGGATTATCTTAATACTAGCATAGCTAGGGTGTTCTTGCACCTACCCTCTTTACTGATTTTCTAAATTTTATTTAAATCTGATATAGAGTGCAAAGGCACTGTATCCCGAAAATGAATCATACTATATCTAATACCGAAAGACTCGGCCCATACAAATTTGCAAAGTCCTAATGCCGCCGCATATGCGGTGAACCAGGACCAACCCCAGTGAACTGGGGTTAAACCGGATTCAAAGGGGGCTTTGAAATACCAGAACCAATAGGAATACTTGGCAGCTTGATCGGGGGTTCGAAGCTTGGCAGGCAGGTCCAGCCTAGTAACCCCAGGTTCGCAGGTCTTATGTACTAACCAAGCCCGAACCTGAGCCGATTACGAGTGAGCCCGGGCGAGCCTTGCCATGTCTAAGACAGGGTAAGATGGCAGAATCTACCCATAAGTGGTAATGCCTAATTGACCTCAGAACAGGAAAGAAAGTGTATGAATGAGCGAAACAGCGGTCTGCGACCTTTTGACAGATCATATGTTTATATGATTTGCTAGTCTGTGTTGGGCTGCTGCGATCGGCAAGCCGGAAAACAATAGAGATCGACACGATAGGTCATTCCGTAAATCCTCAATCGTGCATATCATTTAGATTAACTTTCTACCAATTATATCCGAGTTTCCATCTTTCCTTCTTTTACAAAACTATTGAATCGGAATCAGTTACCGACAAGCTGGTCCAGTCGATCCGGGGCATTTCTGCGCCATAAAGTTTACTTATAGCATAATTCAGCGAAGGAGTGGAGTATCGGTCGCGATCGCCGACTCTATCAAGCACTGTTTTGTTTTATTGGATATTAGCTATATATGACTCCCTCTTTTCCCGCGATGCAGCACTAATCATCTCTATCATCATCTTCTCTACCCTTCTCTTCCCAAGGCCTACCACGGATCGGGACCAAGCATCTATCCAACCCATCAACATGGCCACTCACACAGCTCCTCCCGCCACTTCCACCGACAGCTCCGTGACCCGCACCCTTTCCACCTGGCTTGAAGAACTCACCCCGGACTCCATCCCTATCGAGATTCGTACGCGAGCCAAATACCAAATCCTCGATGGCTTGGCCTGCGCCCTTCTGGGCGCGCGACTTCCTTGGTCTGTGAAAGCACACGACGCTATCACTGCCATCGAAGGACGCGGTAAATGTACCGTGATTGGATGGAATGAGGTATACCTTTAATCCCTTCAATGATTCCCAACGCCAAGTATCAGTGAGCATCGACAAGGCTAAGTTACTAACAATGATCATGACAATAGGCCCTGACACCCAGTGCTGCCGCCCTCCTCAACAGCACCTTTCTCCAAGGCTTCGAAATAGATGATGTACACGTCGAAGCCCCGATTCATACTTGCTCCGTCGTCCTACCTGCTGTCCTCGCTGCTGCAGAACAAGAGCACAGCTCAAATACCCCGGTCAATGGCAGTGCCTTGATAACCGCCTTAGTAGCCGGCTACGAAACCGGTCCTCGCGTAGGGCATGCCCTAGGTGGATCGCACATGCTTACAATCGGCTGGCATTCCGGCGCAATCTTTGGCCCTGCTGCATCTGTAGCTGCTGTCTCCAAGATTCTCGGTCTCTCTGCTGCCCAAATTGAAGATGCATTAGGCATAACATGCACACAGGCCTGTGGACTTATGTCTGCGCAGTTTGAGAGTATGGTCAAACGCATGCAGCATGGATTTGCATCGCGGAGTGGCGTGCTGGCTACATATTTAGCAAAGCAGGGAGTTACTGGGACTAAGGATATTTTTGATTCTTCATCTGGTGGCTTTTTAAAGACATTTTCACATGGAGCGGAATCCGAACCTAAGTTCTTCCCAGAAGAGGTATGTAAGGGGCTTGGAGAAGTATGGCATTCAGCAAAGACACGGCAAAAGCCGTATCCATTAATGGCGGGTTCGCATTGTACGGTGGATTGTGTTAGGGATTTGCAGGCTAAGTATCCCGCGAAGATGAAAGAGTGGAAGAAGATGGTAAAGATTGAGGCGGAAATGGCCAGAGCAGCTATGAAGAAGGGTGGCTGGACACCGGAGAAGCCAGCTAATGTGACAGGAGCACAGATGTGTGTGCCATATGCAGTGGCATTGCAGGTAGTGGATTGGGAGGTTGTACCAGCGCAGTTTGCACCAGGAAAGTTGAATCGTGAGGAGTTGTGGAAGGTGATGGAGATGATAGAGTGTCGAGAGGTTAAAGAGTTTGATCATTCATGGGCACAGCGGGTGAGGATTACCTTTGAAGATGGAGAGATACTGGAGACTATGTTGAAGGCACCAAGAGGGGTGCATCCTGGATTATCAAACGAAGAGGTGCTAGAAAAGTGGCGGGCTGTTACAAAAGGAGTGATCTCACAGGAGAGGCAGAGGAAGATAGAGGAAACAGTGTTGAACTTGGAGGCAGTGGAGGATGTAGTGGCTGTTCTGGGTGAGCTGCTGAGAGGAGAGACAGCGAATGTGCTTCAATAGATGCTGCTTGGTTCCCTACTGGTTAGATCAAAATCTCAGTTACCATTCTCGGACTTGGGTGGCTTCATGACCTTCCCTCAAGAGATGCCCCGACAGACCAGGCTCAAACACGGTGCATTTGATGTCTCGCCCTATGGCTGCTACTGCTCTATCTGCGGCTGCTGCTCTGCTGGTTCCTCTGCTCACTGGGTCTTACTGAAGTCAACACCAGCTATGTGGACTACAACATCAAAGACAGTCCCGACCTGTATGACTTCACCACGGGAACCATTGCATTGTGTGGGATACTGCTACAGGCACTCTCAAAGCTTACACTGGAGGGTCATCCTGGCTGGGTTCGGTAAGACGCCTTCTCAGGTCATGGCCAGCTTCTGGCATCAGGCTTCATTGATAACACTATCACGCTGTGGAGTGCCTGTGGCGCCACTCTCAAGCATATCTTGAGAACTGATGGTTTTGTCACTAACATTGAGTTTTTTGAGCACCTGTCGCTATTGACTACCCACATAGGCTCTTTTGATATTCATATTTGCTACGAAGACCCTCTATCAAATTCCTCCACAAAAGGGATAGTGGTATCTCTGGGAGCAGATTGATGGGTCACTATTCAAGGTCAAAGAGAGCTATGGCTCCCTCCCAATTATCAACCTAGTTCCTCAACGGTTAAAGACGGTATTATCACATTTGGTAACACCAGCGGCAGAGTCGCTTTTCGGTTATTTGAGTTATCCTACACAAGGTTTCGTTTCTATCTCTGTTAATTTTTCGAATCTCTTTAGTGGACAGGTAAGATAGAAGGGCTTTATGAAAGCAAGTATTTAATTGATTAAAGTAAAGATTAAAGTAGAGATAAAATTGGCTTGTAAAATCAAGTATTCGAAAGAAACAGGAATAAGACTAAAATAGAGGTGGACGAGGCCATCAGCATTTCTTACATACCAGATTCCCAGGGTACTGGGCGATTACATATATTGTTAGGCCTAGTATTAGGTACCTCCCTCTGACATCGTATAACTTAAGAGCCAAACCGACTTTGCTAGATCAAAATAATTCAATATCGATAAACGTTGCCTTCTAAGGATTGCTCCCATGATGCTTCTTCATGTTTGTGTTTTCAAGATAAGCGTGTCATTGGCTCATCCAGCACGTCAAGAACTGTGAAGAAAATGATGCTAGTTCAGAAGGATTACAACGGGTGTCAGGTTTGCGCTTCATATGGATATTTTAAATTGATAATAATCTAGAATCAGAAACCTAAGTAATACATATTTGCACGATCCGAAATACCGGCCTTATCTTAGCAACTGTTCCAAACGTCTGAATAGCTGGCTATCATCAATAAGCCAAGAGTACCAGACCCCGCAATCGCCGAATCCGTTACTCATCCATTGCCTATTGCTAACAAACCGTGGCTCAGTTAATGTAGCACTTGACAGACTGGACGCGGTTGGAGGAGATGCTGTCGCTTCCAGGGGACTGGATGTCGCCAGTGCCACCGCCGTTGCAGCGGTCGGTTCTACAGAGCAAGAAAGAAGCACAAGTCAGCCAGGGATGTCAGCATCATAATACAAAGGAAGAAGAACATACTCCCAGAAGCGGCAACGGTATCCCCGGGGGATGGAGACCGAGTGGACATTGTCGTTGACTGGCTTGTCTTCCAGGTTGACTAGATGCAATCAAAAGATCAGCTATGAAAGCGGAAAAGAGAAAGAACGGGGTTGGGTAATTGTCACATACAGCAGTCATGCTGGGTCTTGATGGAAATCTTGGAGCAGGTTCCTCCCAAGTTCTGTCCATCGCAGGCCTTGATCTCGATGGTGTCTTGTCTCTGCTCGAGAGCGCCGGGAGCGGCAATGGCGCCGGTGATGGCGGTGGCGAGCATCAGGATGGTAGCAGTGAATTGCATTTTGAATGATTTGGATAGACGAGATAGTCTTGAAAGTATGGATAGATAGAGAAGATTGTTGTTGGAAAGCTGTTCTTAGAGAAGCTGTTTGTTGTTGTTGATGATGAGCAGGATACACCATGCCAGGACGCTGTACTTATACCTTTTCCTGGGACTTCTATCTCAAGTCTCCAAGACTCTCCCAACTCTACAACTTGTACAAAAACCAACAATATGCCTCTACTCTGGGGCCATTTTCTGCCTTGTGAGCCTGGAACATGTGGATGAACTGTATGATAGCTACCGAAAGGCATCTTTTACTGGTCTCCTCGTCTGGCCTCCATCATCTGGCCCCAGCATCTGCATCACAACCCTGGTCTGTGATGGCGCAGCATGAATAGACCAACCAGCCAAGATGTAACATCAGGATTCCTTTGGTCTTCTTCCCTGTCATTGACATCTGCCAAGACACTCCGCCCCCGGTGATTCTCTTCGTGCAGTGTGGAGGGCCAGAGTCCTAACATCTAGAGATGAAGCGCCCCCACAAAGTCAGCTCATCAATGCAGCCGGGTACCTGAATCTAGAAACTTTGGAGCATAGATGAGAGCCTTGTGTCGCAAGGCCTTTACTGCATTGAGTAAATGTGCTGCTCTTATTATCCAAAAAGGGCTAACATGAATCTCGGCGCATTCCCACGTTTCATGTGTCACTCGATGACGGGCCGACGCGCCACATATACATCCCCTGGCTCTTGGAAAACGATTTTCAGACTTTGAAGCAGTACTTGACAGTATATTTCCTAGGGACAGTATAATCGCAATGGTTTCAAAGCTCGGCACAGTAACTGACACAACAACATCTAGAGAAAGCATGTTTTATTGTTCCTTGACGAGAATAAAGGCAACAGACTGCATTTCGATGCTGCAGTTTAGGCAGCATAACACATGTAATCGGGCAAGGCTACTAAATCTTGTCGGCCCCATTTTCGGCATATGATGAATGATGAAGCCCGAAAGGATTCTTCAGGATCTCTTCCTCGCCCCACAACCCTGCAGCCAGGAAGGAAGCTAACTTATTTAGGCTGTATAGCTGGATGTTCCTGAGCGGATGATTGGCTTGCCCGGGTACCTGGACCGTGCGTAAGCGGAGATTGCAGGCTGCACTTACCGAAACATTCCATAGGTAGTCTTGCACCCTCATACCTAAACAGGGTATGCTTCTTCTTGGCCTGCATAGGAGTAATGCTGACACCTATGCACCGAAAAGTAAGCAAAACCACATGCAGGCACTCTGTCAGGTACTGAAGCTCTCGATCAAGGACCAATGTCTGTCTTGCCTTTGAACCAGAATACACGCAGGACAGAGCTTTCATCATCCTCAAAATTCTATATACAAAAATGCTATAGTACAGTGTGCATAAAAATCGGGAGATCGCTCACCAGTTGAGGGTCTGGAGTATCATCCAGAATTACCAACAGAAATATCCACCATCTCGATGAAACAGACTCAGCCATAATCGTGTCTGTTCCTTTTTGTTTAGTCTGGTAGTCGCGATCCAGTACCCTCGATCTGAACGCCTTGATCCCTTTGGCTGGGCTCTCTCCTGCCCGATCCTTCGAAGGAATAGCCCGACAGGATCAAGTTCAAGCTGTGCACCAATCATTATTCTCCCCCGTTGTTGGCTATATGGGAAGCCAAGGAACAATCATGCCATAGAAGCTGATCAAATCAGTTTGCTTATGATTCAGAGGACACAAACATTATAGTTCGGATCAACTCCGCGTCAAGTCGGCGCCTTATAACAGAGTCTCCGGTGCGTCCAGGTCAACATTTTCTAAAGCGTTTGAGCAAAGTATTTCATTACCCAACATCCACATCAACTATATCAGAGCTCTCCAAGTAAATACGTCACCATGGTAGATACCTGCGGGATTCCTAGGCTGGCCCATGTCTATCAATAGACCGAGTCTGTAATTATCTAAATTTTGATGCCTGAACCTACATCTTTGGTATTAAGGAACCTATCAACACCTTTGTGGACTGGTGCTCGTAGCCTGAGGACAATATTTTTAACTATTGTCGGTGAATGTGATGAGCTGTGATGTATTTTTGGTAACGTTGAGATACTGTGAGTAAAAGGTTAATTCGGTACGAGGTAGCTAGGCATTGGAAATATATCTATTATGTAGAGAAAAACCCCTCGTAGAAGGCTTGGGGTTGTTTCTGGAAGTATCGTCTCGCTCCTTCTCAGTTGCTACCGATTGATACCAGTAGTGGATTTAGCATTAGAGATGACAACCAATTCACACAATATCATATCCTAAAGAATATGATATATTGCATAAAAACTAGATTGAACCTTTTCTTCATAGGAAATATCATCATTCTCGTCAAGGTTAAGTCTCTGGAACTTAAGGTGTAGTATTACTATTTTCGGATATGCTCGTGCCAGATATATATATATATATATCCACAAGGCGCAACTTCAGGGCTCCAAGTCCGTGCGTGACGTCAAACTGAATGTCATTCTATGCTAAGTAAAACCTTGAAAAGGTGGAAAATAGATACTTTCTTAAGTTCTAGAATTAAGATGGTACATGATTTTGTAGAGGAATGACTCCTCAATGGGATAAATAACTGACTATCGCGTCTGCAACTCCAAAGCGCCAATACAGACCGTAGAAAGCGTTCTGGTTGTAGTATGTAAATAATACATAGCATACAATCACTATATTTCTTTCATATCTCACTATTACTTATACCAAGATGACAAAGACGCCATGGGTTCGAATATACTCAATATTTGCGGAGCACGGCGACATGAGACGGCCAGCTCGGTCGGAGATATTTTGGCAAATACTCGGTAGTTGCTCCGCTCATCATGTAGCGTATACTAGTACTCGCGGGCTGATCGGCCCCCATCGACCTTTTGCGTTCTTAATGTCGAGACTGGGATATTTATGCTGTTTCCAGATGAATGTATGAATATCTCATTGGGTATCTTATGAGCCGTTTATAATATTATACTCGCGAGTTATCCTGATCCCCTCAACCCCCAAAACGCCTTGAATGTTCGTAAACCAAAAGATACCAAATTATTGAACAGCAACAGTAGGCACTTTTGACCAGTCGCGACACATTCCCAGGACAGTCCGACAAAATTTGCCGTACTCAACTTTCACGTCGAAGGCCCTCCACGATCCCTGTGCCAGGTGCCTCAGGCGCGCGGAAGGGTCAGTGATTGGCTTGGAGCCCATATTGCCATATTTGCCGCGTCCCGGACTATATCATCGTGTCAGTTCTTCGTTTCTATCATCGATCAATGTCTGAGCTCATCATACCTGAATCCAGTAATTGGGAGAATAAGCACATCATCAACCAGCTTGCTCTTCCCTCCGTCCTTCAGACCTGACAGTGCATGCCAGCGTAAGCCAGCCACCTCTTCCAGTCTACTCCGCACGGCGTCGGTGAAGGCAGCAGGACCGGTAAGTGTGAGCGGATCCAGATTCATAAGCTCTTGTCGAGCAGCTCGTGATTGGAGTGATCCACCGTAGCGGTTGGAGATATCTCCTATCGTTGCTGATAGCCGGTCGATGAATGTCTGCAGGATAGGATGACCCGGGGCCCAGGCAAACGCCCACTGCGTAAGCTGCACGGGCTGCGAGTAGCCCATGCGCCAGTACGTATCGGACCCCTCAGGGCAATCAGCCTCGAGGCCGACAATCGCGCGTACCGGAGCGGTCGAGTTAAAGGATGTGCCGGCTCGTGTATCGTTCCAGGCATGCAGATCGGTCGGGGTAATCCATTCGGCAGGTTTGCGAAGCGGTTCGGTATCGATATCGCCATACTATTCTGATTAGAATTATGCTCCGACTCTCAAAGTTATTCCTGCACCTACCACACCTCCAATCCATTTGGAAATCACGATGCGAAACGCATCTGATCGCTCAACATTGCGCGCCAGATGCGCATAGTGGCTCTCCAGGTCCGGCTCAAAGTGGTGAATAAATTGTTCCATTCCCTCATCCGTCCACAAAAAGTAGGCCATCTCGCCTTCGGCAGTCTGAAGCCATCGCTCGGCGCTGTGACGGATGATTTGGGGCCAGGTGTCGATTCTTGTGTTTTTCCAGGTTTGATGTACGATCATAGGAATTGTTGAGTGAGGAAGGTACCCGTCTGGGGAAGCTCGGGCGGCGCTAAGAGCTAGCTCGGCCGCTTCAACGATATTCTTCGGGGGTGGTTTAGATGCGCTGGTCCAATTTGGCGGGATATACCATGCTGTAAGAGAACAATTGGGTCAGTCAGTCAGTTGTGTCTAAAGAATTGTGAATGATCGCCTACCTCCTCCCTCGGTATTGTGTGTGTGGACATGGCGGTACAGTAGTGGGTACTGATCCTCGAGATCTATCGGCTTAGTATCGAACTTGGTACGTTGCTGGCAGATGCAAATCATCAACACCGCGCCGATAAGGGCGACGATGGCCAAACGCCGCAACCGAGTAGGTGCCATACCGTAAGTTTATCACAGCATTTTCATCCTCCGGAAGACAGATGAGAGAGATATGTAGGATGATGAGGGGGAAAAGGGGCTCAGCCCCACGTGACGGTAGCCAGGCGCAGCCAGAAGAAGAAGCCTTGGAAAGTTCCGAATTACACTTTTTGTGATTTTTCAAAAAACAGTTCACATGTATGGAGTACACTAGTACAAAGTAGTTGGTTACATGTCGAAAAGATTGTGATGTGGCCCACAATAGGATCCGCCACAGTTTTGGGGCTACCGCTTCCCCCTCTAGGAAGGTATGAAGCCATACTACATGATCAAATCATTGATCTTCCTTCTGTTTCTCAATGATCTGCTTGCTGGCAAAAGCATTGACTAGCCATCTATTTCAATCGTGAATGTCATTGCTTCTCTATAACAATCATACAGCAAAAAACAAGCTCTTGGAGACGGCCGCGGTGGAAAGCGCGCCCGACAATCCAGCCCCCAACACCCACAGCACCCGTTGGAGCGTAGACACGAATACGAACCCCCTGTCACAGAAGCAGCACTCCTAGGCTGCTACCTTCGAAACCCCATCTAATAAATACTAGCGCAGCAAATGAAAACCTCTCTGCCACATTACTGGTATGTTTCAGGGTTTCCCCTGCGTCAATTTGACGTTCCGAAGGGTTGTATCTGTGCAGCTCAGGTCAAAGGGTACAAAGGGCTGAGCAAGAGATTCCCCGATCGGGAAGAGCATGCGAGGTTACGCTAAACCTTATACAAGACATACTAACCCTGTGTGGCATAGGTGGTATCTTTTAATAACCAATTCACAGCCTGATGAAAGAAATCCTGATTCCTGATTGTGGGTGATCTCCAGTGCAAGGCTGAGACTTAGGGCTGTGTTGAAGGGATCAAATTAGATCTCCTTGAAACGCAAATGCCTGAATCCATCTCACGTCAGATGCAATTGCAAGATGTGTATTAGGAAGACCGAAAATATGAATTGAGATCCGCAGTGACAGAGGGACTGAAGAGCACAGGACGGTATTGGGGACGAGGGACCAGCCTTGTCTGGCTTGGCGCACCCTGTTTTCTGTTGATCATGGGCCAAGCGGCTGATCCAGGGTCATTGTCACGTGATAACCGCAAGTCCTTGCTGCCGCTTACATAACTCAACATCTGGCGCACGATTGGCCACTGCGTTCTGACGGAAATTTCCCGGCACGCTAGCAGGAAGTCAGCAAATAGTCTCGAATTAGCCTGTGCAATAGTGTCGGCATTTATGCTTATTCTGCCACAATTTGAAAATTGCCATTCTGCAGAATCATCACATTCATGGGGGTCATTCAGGGGTTAGTCATTAGTCTTTGAAGAGGTTGGAATATTTCTCGTCATGTGTTGTCAACAATTGCCATGCTTCAGCCTTGCTACCACACGGAAATTGAATGAGGGATTGTGACAGACTGTGCAGGATCAGTCGGTCCTTCTTGGCAGGGATTGTGCCTCTTGCTAACTGCTTCAGGTAGGAGCTGTTAGTCCACGTCACCTATGTCCTACGTAAGACATTTCAATGATGCCTACTGCTGTCAGCGCGGAATATCTCTATCCCGCTGACAGACCTGCACTTGTTTGACAGAGTGATATGACCATGGATTATGCGGCGACATACTACGACAATGTACTTTTATTAGTCAAATACGGCCGTGGAAATTTCGCGAAAAAAATACTACTACTCTGCTTGCAGCTTCAATAGGGCTGACAAGATTGAGAAACGAAAGAATGCTATACATCATTCCGACGATGTACCCAAGTATTATGCTGGATCTCGACGTCAATATACTACTTGCACCGCCTTCTGTCTATTAACCAATCAGCCACATGAATGAGCCCCGATCCCGACGCAAAAGCTTTTGAGGCGCAGTGGTATGGCCTATAAGATATTCCCCAGTGGGTTTGTCCACATGCCAGAAGCTCAACTAGTCAGTGGCCAGCCTTGTAGATTCTATTAATACCATTAATCTACCATCATTCTGGAAACGCTTCACCGCATTGATCCCTGCACAGACATTTGACTCCAAGACACAGCTCGCGGCCTGGAGATGGTAATCACGGGACTATATTGGAAGTACTTGTTATGCTCAGTATCACGACCAACCATAGGCCACACAACTCACACAAAATGACTAAGTACATTAGATACATACATACCCCGCCTCAAATACGAATCCCCTCATCTAACAAGCAAGATAACCCAAACGGCGGCTACCGTCACCCCGAACAAAGAAATAAGCTACCATGTGGACCAACGTGCAGCCGAGCGGGCCGAACACCCTCGGGGAACAATACCGAGATAGCATACTGGCATCGGTGCGACACCCGAAACAACATCACTGAATGCCCTAGTTATGGCCAACTCACGATATCTGAATATACCCCGCACTGAGTATTGCAAGCTATGAAACTCTTCTAAGGTGCAAGGTGCAAGTCATACGATTGCTTGGTCTTGCACGGTCATCATGTCATCTGCTGAGGGATCGAGCATAGCGCCGGTGTATACGTCGAAATGGAGAGATACGGTCAAGGATCTGGTTGCGGGAGCAGTGGGGGGTGTTGCGCAGGTAGTCATTGGTAAGCTCTATACTCATGACTGTTATATCAGGGAGCCGCGTGTATACTTACAGGGTTATAGGACAGCCATTTGGTAAGTGCCATCGTACTCATTAAAAATAGATCCCATCTCATCGCCATAGCTGCTATCCCAGAAAGCTGAACGGTATCTAGACCTCGTCAAAGTCCGCCTCCAAACCCAAGGAGGCAAAGACAACAACGCTCTCTCCCTAACTCAGCAAATCTGGAAGCGCGAAGGCCCATTATCATTCTACAAGGTGCGTTGCTCACCACAACTCAGCTATAACTATCCTAACCATCCTTTACTCCAGGGCTCACTCGTGCCCTTACTAGGTGTCGGCGCCTGCGTAAGTCTCATCCTCTATCATACCCATCACTGACCCTCACACACTGACCGATAAAATAACAGGTAAGCATCCAATTCGGCGCATTCCACTACTTCCGCCAGCTCATTGAGCACCACAACCACCAAACGCACCCAACACAACCTGCCACCCCCACCCTCCCCCAATACTACCTGGCGGGCTGCTTCGCCGGCCTAACCAACAGCCTCATCTCCGGTCCAATCGAACACATCCGGATCCGCCTACAAACCCAACCCCACGGCTCCCTCGCCCTCTACACCGGTCCTTTTGACTGCGCACGCAAGATAATCTCCCAAGCGGGGATTCTCCACGGGTTATACCGGGGCCAAGTGGCAACACTTATCCGCGAAGGCCACGGCATCGGAGTCTGGTTCGCGTCCTACGAGGGGTTCTTAGGCCTTGCGGCGCAGAGACAGGGGAAAAGGAGGGACGAGTTACCTAGTTGGCAGATTGCCGTGTGTGGGGGGTTGGCGGGGGAGATGTTGTGGTTGTTGAGTCATCCAGTCGATGTGATTAAGAGTAAGATGCAGAGTGATGGGTTTGGGAAAGACCAGAGATTTAAGGGATTTAGGGAGGCTGTGAGGATGACTTGGAGAGGGGAGGGGGTAGGTGGGTTGTTCTTCGGGATTGGGCCCGCGTTGGCGAGGGCGATGCCTGTTTCCGCGGGGACGTTTGCGGTGTGAGTTACCCTCACTTTTTCTTCTGGTTTTGTTGATTGTGTTGCTGATATCTGTGGTGTGTAGGGTGGAATTGGTGAGGAAGGTGTTGGCTTAGGTGGTTGGTGGGTTGGAAATGTCTGGGTATATTAATGGGGAATTGATGAATTTATATCCTGGATGGGTTTTCTAGACTGCTTTAAAAGATAATGCTTATTTTGCTATGTAGCACACTGCTTCTTCTATTTGCTCTTCAGACACTGGGCAATCGAGCGACCCACGTACTCCACATTCTTATCGTTGAGTCCAGCAATAGAGACTCGCGAGTTGCTTGCCATGTAGATATGATATTGCACTGCATCGAATGGAGTTAGTAAGATATCATGAGGGTCAATCCTAAAGAACTTACCCTTGAGCTCCTGAACGACATCCGGTGCAAGACCCAAGAACCCAAACATGCCCGACTGGCGGATCAAGTGATCCCAGTTACCAGGTGCACCTGCACATTTATCAGAAACTGCTCAAATGCATATCAAGATTCAACTCACCATTGTTATTCAAGGAGTCATACAGAGCCCTCCGCATTGCCCGGATCCGGCCACTCATGGTCTCGAGATCCTTGTACCAGAGCGCTTTGAGCTCCCGATCCGACAAGATGGTTGCAGCAATTTTGGCGCCATAAGCAGGTGGATTCGAGACTTCAGACCGCTGCAGCATCTCCAGCACCGACTGTGTATTGGTAGCAGCTTTGTCTGTCTGAGCTACGAAGAATAGACAACCCGTGCGCTCTCCTAGCAAACCATTAGCCCCAAACCAAATGACAACGTCACAGAGGAATAACATTCTCACCATATAGCCCCATATTCTTCGCGAACGACAGACATACACCCGCCTCCAGGTCCAATTCATCAACAAAATACCGAATCGCAAAAGCGTCATCATCGATATTGCCTGAATTGAAACCGAGGTAAGCAGCATCAAAGAGAGGGAAAAGTCCCTTTTCCTTGATGATACGACCGACTTCCTTCCATTGCTCTTTGCTAGGATCACAGCCGGTCGGATTATGCGCGCACGCGTGAAGAATAACGACCGAGCCTGGTTCCGCCCGTTTCAGGGCAGAGTAGTAGCTGTCGATATCTAGATTCTTCTGGGCGTCGTCGTAGTACCCGAAGGATTCGCAGGTGAACCCGAGGGAGGAGAAGACTTGGTGATGGTTCGACCATGTGGGACTGGGGATGTAGATCTTCGGCAAGGGGGCACGACAGCTTCGAAGAAGTAGGCCTGCTAGATGAAGAGACCCGGTGCCAGAGAGGCCTTGGCAGGTTGCGAGCTTCGTTGGTCATGTCAGAGGGTGTGATACGACCAACGTCTGGGGTTTCCGTGACTGGGACTTACCCTAGTTTGAATCCTCTCGTATAGTCCAGAGCCTAATGCCATCTTACTTGCCGCCTGGCGAAAAGCTTGAAGACCCAAGATCGGCAGATACTCATGATTCAGACCCTGTCCAACGAGCATCTCGCGACTCTTCCGCACCGAAGGTAGAACCCACGGCTGTCCATTCTCATCGCGGTAGGTTCCTTGCCCGAGGTTCACTTTCTGGGGGAAGGTGTCGGCATTGTACTCTGCAGTTAGAGCAAATATAGCATCGGGAGGAATGAACGGGGCTGTCTCGAAGAAGGAAGGGGGAGTGGTTCCCGTCTGTGTGATTGTGCTGGTTTGAGTTGTCATTATGTCAGAGTCTAGATGAACAATTGAGAAATCTGAGATAATGCCACAGGTCAAATGTCTATTTCTAGTGACATGTTCTAAAGCTAAATAAATGTTCTTAAGCCCTGCCCGCATAGCAGTTCGGCCTTGACCTCCGAGATGTCGGCTCTCTCGCCCGAGTACATGTTTTGTCGTGTTATCCAAGCAAGCTGGGCGATAAAGGATGCATCAAGATAGCGCGATCCGCTTATCAGGGATAATTATCGCGCAGTGGGTCAGTCTGGATGGCGAGTTTTACTATTAGTTGAGATTGAGTGGATGGCTTCGTGCGGGGAATGAGGGGTTTAACTCTATTCCAGTTAATTGAGGGGAGACAACTTGAACCGACAAAGACTGCACTATAATTGAAAATTCCTTGCATTGTCCCGGGCGGGAATTTCTCCGCGATGGCTAACAAAGTATTTGACTCATTTTCCCTGTTTTGTTTCCATTTGGGAAGGTGCATTGAGGTTGTTTATTGAGATGCTGCTGTGTAATCAAACTGGCGATAGGACAGGTCAATGGACGCTATAATTTAGTGGAATTAAGCGACTACATCAGCTGTGCGTCAACATCTCGTGTACTAGAGCCATAACTACTGTTATCGCTCCCAGTCTATATCTCAGCCTATTATAGGAAGTAAAGCACTATGTTTAGAAATAACTGCCTGCTGGATGCTGTGCGTTGCCCCACGCGCGATTTCTAGCGCCAAATGACTAGACCACAATACTACTAGTAATATGTCTCCCCAGTATCAAGCAGCCCACTCATCATCAACCTCCTTCGTCTTCCACAACATCCATGCAGCTGCAATCATCCCCTTCAACACTACAGCAGTCCAAAGTGCGCCCGATAATCCAACCTCACTCCTCGCCCACAAGCCACCCGCCACAATTCCAATCAACATCCCCACCACAGCCCCCAACCGCCTCCACTCATCAGGCGCCTTAAGCACACTGCAAGAGGTCAGTGCCGGTGACGAGAACAAATCACAATAGATACTAGTAAGGACAACACTCGTCAAACTACTACACTTCAACACGCGACTCGACACAGCCTGGCCACTACTCTGGAACGCGACCAACGCCAACGGCACACCAATTTTCCACGTCAGAGGATCGGTCTTGCCGGTGTGCTGCATGGTGACAATACTCGCAGCGACAGCAACACAAATCATTTGCAGGGAGAAGGACAGAGTCAGGGCGGACCGTTGGCGCGGTGTGTGAAACAGGCGGTGTAACACGGCGAAGAAAAAGGAGCCGATGCAGAAACTGCCGATCGAGATGAGCGATTTAAGCCACCGTTGACTCTCATCCACCCCGGCCAGCCCTAGTCCAAAGTATACTGTGTTGCCGGTCTGCATGCTCACAAAGGAGCCCCAGATAAACACGGCAGAACTGTCCAGGAGACCCGTGATGACGTAGCAGAAAATGAGGAGAAGGTCTGCTCGGTGCGGGTCGACTTCGGTGCGGAGATGGCGGCGCAGTTGGCTCAGGGGGGAAGGTTTGGGGCCAGGTCCCCGGTGTCCCAGGAGAGGATCGTTCTCATGGGCGGGAAATTCCTGGTAGTGCGCGGTTTCGTGCGCCATGGTCGAGAGTGAAGGTTGGTGGATGGTCTCTCTGTGTGTGTGGGAAACACGAGAGGGGAAGGGAAGAATTGGGTGGCCTGGGAATGCCCGAGCGCGCAAACTAGGCAGCAAGTAATATTCCAAATGAGTGTCTCAAATAGCGATGTGAATAGCGACAGCTAGCAGGGACTTAATAGTTCGTCCACGGTTAAGACGGCAGTGGGAGATGAGGGGGGGAAAAGAGTTGGAGATGAGTGGAGAAAGAAAGAGCGAGACTCTGATCCATCGCGCGTGACGTCGGCGCAGATCCAATGACGTTGAGTGCCCGGCCCTGTAGGGCTGAATGGTTGGGGCCAATGGATTCCCCCTTCTCCCCAAACAAGCATTACTACCAAGCTTTGTTCGGGCTTTTTGACCCCAGACGAGGTTCCACCCTTGCGTCTATTTCTTGCTTTCTGGAATCCACGTCACTGGTCGCCCGGAAGAGTCGGATATGAGAGAATTTCCATTGATATCAAGCTTGCTCTGACCCACCCCCTCAGCCAAGGAATATAAGAATGGTCGGTTTCCACGGTCGCAAAGGCAGAGACAGAGATCTGGAGACCAAGCATTCCTAGTAGATTGCAAAGATGCAGCTACCCCTGTCACCACGTCGGCTGTTGCTGAGTTTCGCGACCGTGGCCGCCCTCCTCTATCCCAGTCATGGAGGCCCGGTCCCTAACGAAGCATACCAGCAACTATTGCAGATTCCCGCTTCATCCCCATCCATTTTCTTCCAGGACAAGCCATTCACCCCCGATCATCGCGACCCCTATGACCACAAGGTAGATGCGATCGGGGAAGGCCATGAACCCTTGCCCTGGCGCATGGGAGACGGAGCCACCATCATGGGACCCCGCAACAAGGACCGTGAGCGCCAGAACCCCGACATGCTCCGTCCCCCGAGCACAGACCATGGCAACATGCCCAACATGCGGTGGAGCTTTGCAGACTCTCACATCCGCATTGAGGTAAGTCGTTTGAGTGTCCCTGTATGTCAAGCGATAAGACTAATGCATTGCAGGAGGGCGGTTGGACACGTCAGACTACTGTACGCGAGCTTCCCACGAGCAAGGAACTTGCTGGAGTGAACATGCGCTTGGATGAGGGTGTCATCCGCGAGCTGCACTGGCATCGGGAAGCAGAGTGGGCGTATGTGCTGGCCGGACGTGTACGAGTAACCGGCCTTGACCTGGAGGGCGGTAGCTTCATCGACGATCTGGAGGAGGGTGACCTCTGGTACTTCCCATCGGGCCATCCCCATTCCCTCCAGGGTCTCGGTCCCAATGGCACCGAGTTCCTACTGATCTTCGATGATGGGAACTTTTCCGAAGAGTCCACGTTCTTGTTGACCGACTGGATGGGTATGTCGGTCGTGCTTGCTCCTGTACAACCTCCTCAAAGTATACTAACAATGCTACACAACAGCACATACACCCAAGTCCGTCCTCGCTGGGAACTTTCGCATGCGCCCACAAACATTCAAGAATATTCCGCAATCTGAAAAGTATATATTCCAGGGCTCCGTCCCGGAATCTATTCCCAAAGAGCTCCCCCGCAACTTCAAAGCATCCAAGCAGCGCTTCACGCATAAGATGCTCGCACAAAAACCAGAGCATACCTCTGGCGGAGAGGTGCGCATCACTGACTCGTCCAACTTTCCCATCTCCAAGACCGTCGCGGCCGCCCATCTGACCATCCACCCGGGAGCTATCCGGGAGATGCACTGGCATCCCAATGCAGATGAATGGTCCTACTTCAAGCGCGGTCGGGCGCGAGTGACCATCTTTGCCGCCGAGGGCAACGCTCGTACGTTTGACTACGTAGCCGGAGATGTGGGCATTGTTCCTCGCAACATGGGTCATTTTATTGAGAACCTCAGTGATGACGAGGAGGTCGAGGTGCTGGAGATCTTCCGGGCGGACCGGTTCCGCGACTTTTCGTTGTTCCAGTGGATGGGGGAGACGCCGCAACGGATGGTGGCGGAGCATGTGTTCAAGGATGATCCGGATGCTGCCAGGGAGTTCCTTAAGAGTGTGGAGAGTGGGGAGAAGGACCCTATTCGAAGCCCGAGTGACTAGATGAAGATCTACACTTGTATTTTACCCTCGTGATTTACAGGGAAAGGAGGAGCCATAGAATGCCTAATATTAATGGCCATATCTTAGTTGCTTTTACTTTAAGTTGTATCTAGGAAATCATTCATTTGAGACAACAGGATTCAGCACTAAAAGGCAAAAGTAGACGATTCATCTAAGAACTAAAGTATCAAGCACGCCGGGATCAGTAAGTGGATTTGAAATCAACAACGACGACTGTAGCTGGGAGACATGGTTTACCTGTAGCAGCATATTGACTCCCACTCACCTCACCCACTAGCTAGACATGACGATCCTATCCTGAAGAGTCCATCAATAATATCCCGTCGACCGTCACTTGGACTAGAATCGCGATAGAATCGAAGTGTCTCGCTATAAAGTTCCGGATCACCTTCTGCAAGCTCTCGGGCATCTTCCATGATCACGTCGTAAACGCTAGTTTCGTGTAGTTCAAATGGCCCATCGCCATTATCGCGCAGATTGGTATAGATACCATCTTTGGCGCGTCCATCTATATGGTATCGCGCCCAAATCGCATCACCATAGCGTTTTTCAGCGATGGCTGTGCAGTACCGAGATGCCCATGGCTCGACTAGTTGTCTTTTCGTCGTTTTGTTGATGACGTCTGCGATGGGAATATCGAGGAATATTTGTTCAGGTAGGGATGGTTTCATAGCGACTGGGGAGCTTGGCGGAGTATAGTACTCTTGTGATGTCTGAAAGAAGAAGCAAGAACGAAGAAATCTTGGGCCAAGATGACGTTGCGTATGTGCATGGAGGGTGGGAACAAGAAGGCATTTATGTTTCCGCAGGTTAATACGTACACCCGCTTATTCGATTGGTGCCTGATAAGCGTCTCTGCCTAGACTCTCGTGGGCGCTGCACTCCTCAATTTCTACACCTCCGTAAGTAACAATCACTGGTGAAAGGATAAGTTCTGTGGCACCTGGCAACTGTTTCCCCCTAGTTCTCATGATCCATTTAAGTGAGTGCAAAATCTAAGATGGGGTGGGATTAGGCACTAGAAATGCTCACCAGCGCACTGATCATGGGTGGCCGATATGCCCCCGTCTTCCCCCCTTGTAGCGTATCAATAGGTTTAGCTGCCGCAAAAGGGGGTCTTGTATTGAGAAACATTTGGGGGGTTTAGCTCCGCTTTATGGAGCCTTTCAACTACATTCTCCGACTAAGAACTGTGGACAATAATAGATATGCACCTGGCTCATGTCGAAGTACTCTCGCTACATTCTTTCATACTATCAACCTCTGAAGTGACAACATCTTTGATAGATACAATGTTGCAATATACCAAATAACCTTCAAGTAACCCCTACTGATGCTCCGTTCCTATTCCTTCGGTTGCCAAGTGTCCAAGGCTCATTGGCGAGGGATCGGCGTTATTCTGGTCAAGACGTCCTATCCAGAACGTCAGTTCATCTTAATGCTCAAATATTTAGATGGACATGTGGTTTTTTAGAAAAGTCTGAGAAGTGACATGGTGAGTCCTACCTGCAAACCAGATATCTTTAGACCGAAAAAGCCGAATCACTAGCAACCAGTGGACTTCGAGCTCAAACACAGCTTGCGGTGCCCCGAGTTCTTAGGCGAGTAACCCGAAACATATACGGTTGAACAACAAGCTTTGGTTCGTGGGCAATCATCGTATATAAGTTTTCCAACCGCATGTGCTTTATACCACGTAAGATCGGCTCCACTGCCATGAGGCCCGACCCTGAACCAGCAACCACCATAGTAGTCAATTGTACGCGTTGAGCCAAGGTCTGTTTGGTACTGGTTCATGTCCTGAAGCAACTCGTAGCAAGAACTACGTGGGGCTAGATTTGAGCTGCTGCACTTGATAGTGTAGGTCACATCCCGCTTTTCAAGAGCCTTGAGGTCTTCACCTAGAACACCGATGATAATGTCGACAAGTTCCCGATGTCCGTCGTTCGAGCTAGTGGTGTTGTATCTGGTGGCCACTTGGTTGTAGAGTTCCGTATTGCCGAGCCTGTAGCCCGTGGCATCGTCAAGCAGCTCCTTTGTCACAGTAGTGTTGTCTGCTTCGATGATGTTGCCCACAGCTCGACCATCCATATGATACCGCGCCCATACGGCATCACCGTAACGACTTTCACGTACGGCAGACACATATGATTCACCCCACGGGGCTTGAATCCACGAACCTGCCGTTCCGTTTGCAACTTGATCAACATCAAGGTCCAGAAATAGCTCATCAGTCTCGCCACTGAATGCTCCCAGCACCATGGCGAATAGGCTAAGCCATTTCAAGATAGATTGGGGGTTGCCAGCCATGTTGAAGGTGAAATTAGGTATGAAGTCTGATGAGCTGGAGAGGTTTCTACCCTCTGGCTTATTTATACCTTTTGTGATCCCATAGTCACTGGTACGATGGAAGAAAGATTATTTGAGCTAGTCGCTCATTTGCTATCATGTCTTCGGACAGAAGGAAGACTGTGGACGCCTAATGTTTACAGTAGGTACTTTTACACGTGAGAGAGAATTTTCATCCAGTTGGCTGGTCCCTTAACAACTACTGCTTCTTCGCACACAGTTTGTTTCCTTATCAGGTCCATACGTGACTCCCATTGGATGACTGACTAGACTTGAATGTGAAATAAGTAAGCTATACGCTCATGTCTGACGTATCTCATAAAAATATGTGATGTTTAATCTGTATTCGCAGGTATACCATTCTTGTATGAGTGATTCGTTCCGGAACTGGCCTCCATTTCGTCCACAAGTAACTTACCTCAGCTCCGTGTTTGCTCCCATAATCTCACTTAACATCCTTCCAATGTTGGCTGGCCCATTCCCGTTGGCAATATTGCGGACTGCTTCTATTAGCTCGCTGATAATGTACTTACAAGGATACTAGACAAACAATTCGGCTGCCTAGCAGTTACTTGCTACTTACGGTTACCAATCTCCAGGGAATTTTGGGGGCGATCGGAGTTCATGCGTATTGGTCAAGTTCTGATTTTCGGTCCCTTTACCTCTAAAGATTCTAGTTGTGCTAGACACTGTATCCAGCTGTTGAAGTGATTAGAACGCCCAGGGGATCTCCAACTAGCATTCATCTTGGTAACCTACTGTACCAGCTGGAAAGTTCAAATACATAATGAACTCGGCTCTATGTATCATGCAACTAAGAGACTAGAAAGGAAATTACCTCACGGCTAGCTTGCCACCACGGAAAGGATCAAGGCTTAATTATGTGCCCGATGTTCCTGACGAGGCTGACCAATGGTAGGGCTATTGATAAGAGTAACTGAGGGCAGGATAGATAGACGGTGCCTGATTTGACGACTTTGTGAAGATAAGCATTCTTCGGGGCAATGCCTCTACCGCTGTTATATCCAAACACGGTAACCAAATCGGCACTAAGACATCGAAATCACCTCTGAAGGATGAGTAAACAGCGCCTGACTGCAATAGAAGGTTTACTATGCATTTGTAGAGTCAAATCAGGTGGATGTAGCTTGGCCCCCGTCTGATTTCACACTGTGGTTTGACCGAGAAAGGAAGATCTCCCGGCTGGTCCACACATCACGATGCTTGTTCTCCCATGTTAGCGCTTACATCAGACGGAATTGTGACGTACACAGCTAGATAGCAAGTCTAGGCTTTTGCGCTTCTGATCAGAGCAGCCTTGAAGATCATCTTTTGCCTATTCGAGGCTGCAAGACACCCATTATACTATCTTAGCCAAGTAACTGTATCTACGACAGATAAAAATGCACATGGGGTAAATAATCTTTTTGTGTATGTTCAATAGTACCAGTACTGGATATACAAAGTAACTCATGATCATTAATAGCAAACACATGGAAATTATTACAGTGCCGGTTTCAAAAACAGAGCATAATGTCGTCTAAGACATAATGGAAGATATAAGTGAGATGAAGATCGAGAAGCAGGAATACAACGATAAGGATAAAGAAGAAAGGAAAATTATGGAATCCAGAAGGGGACCAGATGTTGAAATTGAGTCTAGAGCTGAAGACACGATGAGGAAAGTTGAATAAGAGTGCGGAATATATAGCCATCGGAACTCGCATGCAGAGGGAAGGCCAGAGGGGTCAATCTTAGTGGTGCGCGCATGAAAACGAACATCAAAGGCTTTCAGCGACAAACAAGGATTGAAATCGAAAGTGCACAGGAGAGGCCTTCCTCAGGCAGAAACAAAAATATTCGGGTATCGCGTTTCAGGGGTCTTCTCGTCAATGGATTGTTGTTGACTAACACAGCCCCTTCAGCCACAAATGCCATCTCCGTCCTAGAATGTAGCAGCCTAGTACAACAATAATAAGCAAGCAAATACGATTACGACATCCCGAAGGCTTAGCCACTCAAAATAGCGGGACCCGCGGGTCGCAGATGCCCCGCCATTGTTGATGCCTTCATTTTTGAGTCTTCCGTCGCCCTACGTCAGTCATCACCATATTCAAATTTAGGATCCTGTTTCCTCTCTGCCTGTCAAGAATCACACATAAATATACCCGTCTCCCTCTATAGATCACCTCTTCCTCAAGATACCCTCCTATCACCGCCTAACCTCCCAACACCCTCACAATGTCACAACCACCCACCAACACAAACAGCCACAAGATGTGGGATAAAACCAAGACCTACGGAAAAATGGGCTTCGACAAAGCCTGGGGTGCCCTCGACAAGCTAGGCGCCCCCGTCAACCGACTCAGCAATAAGCTGGGTGCCGAAGCTTTCTGGCCCATGACCCTCGACAAAGAAAGCGAAAAGGTCGCCCGTATTCTCCGCAGTTTCTGCAAAGATGGAGTCTACGTGGACGAGCCAGCCGCGGACACTGCGCCTCCTGTCAACAGCAACGAAGCATCATCATCGAAACAGAAAATTGACAAGCCGCGCGGAAAGCAAAAGGTGTTGAAAAAGATCCCCTCCGAGGTGATCCGGCAGGCCAAGGGAATAGTCGTGTTCACAGCCATGAGAACGGGCTTGTGGTTCAGTGGAGCTGGTGGCAGTGGCATTCTGATTGCCCGGGTACCGGAGACCGGGGAGTGGAGTGCACCTTCCGGAATCTTGTTGCACACAGCTGGTTTGGGATTCCTTGTTGGTGCGGATATCTACGACTGCGTGATGGTTATCAATACCTACGAGGCGTTGGAAGCATTCACCAAGGTCAGAGTGACCCTGGGCAGCGAGATTACTGTTGCCGCGGGCCCGATTGGCATGGGCGGAGTGTTGGAGTCGGAGGTGCACAAGCGCCGGGCGCCGATTTGGTGTTATGTCAAGAGTCGGGGTTTCTATGCGGGGGTGCAGATCGATGGAACAATTGTTATTGAACGAAATGATGAGAATGAGAGGTTCTACGGTCGGAAGATTCCTGTCAAAGAGATCCTGACGGGCCATGTGCGCACGGATAACCCGTCCGTGCGAATGTTGACGCACACCATTCGTTCCGCGCAGGGTGATGCCAACTTTGACCAGGCTCCTGCTGGAGTGCAAGCGCCCATGGGACCGAGTCCTAGTGATTATGCACCTGAGGATCTTCAGCATACTCAGATGGTTCATACTGGGGCGGCTCCAGGCGAGGGAGCACCATATCAACCAGGCCCTCAATATCCGCCTAGGCCCGAGTCTGGTCCTGGTCCGCAGTATCAACCCGAGCCCCAGTACCAGTCTGGGCCTCAATATCAGCAAGGACCTCAACAAGGCCCTGGTCCGCAATACCAGTATCCGGGTGATCCGCAGCACCAACATGGTGCCCCAAATCAGTCGAATCCTCAATATCAGCAACCGGGTGCGCCTTACCAGCCTGGTCCCCAGTATCACCCGGGCCATCAGTAGCCTTTCGGCTGCGATTGATGAAATGCGCCCGCAACATATCCTTATATCTGCTTTTTCCTTCAGCGAGACAACCTGATTAGATGCCCTATTATTAGATCACCCAAGATAACGAATCACGATTGACAACAACGTCTTTAATCATAGAACCCTACTCGTGCAAATCCCGTCTATCCTCACTTCGTAAATGCAATGCACATAAGATACTACGAGAGTCCTTCCACACCCTAGTAGCTCTAACAATCCAGCCTGATGAAGATCAAAGTGGCAGTGTCCAGCTAACCCCGTTATCTCCGACAGCCTGTCATTATATCTACGCCAAATAACGCCCATTCAATATAAGAAGCACCATAACATCAGACTACATCACATCCTCAAGCTCTCTAGTGTAACTGCATTATAATGAAGATAATCCTCACCGGCAGTACCGGCTTCATCGGCCAGGAAATCCTCACCCAATGTCTCCGAACCCCCCACATCACATCCATCATTGCGCTGTCCCGCCGCCCGCTCCCTACCAGTAACCCCAAGCTCACGGTCAGACTCGTGGATGATTTCCTCACATACCCTGAGAGTTTATTGCAGGAACTGAGGGGGGCGGAGGCGTGTATTTGGTATACCTTTCCAACCCATCTCCCGTACAGATATAATGAATATATCTATGATGCTAATGAAAGGATAACAAAATAGGGCGATCGGGGTAAACAGAACCCGAGACACCGAAACAGCTCGGAGAATCAATATCGAGTACACGATGGCTGCGATGAGGGCATTCGGCACACATTTGTCTTCCTCGGTTGAAGGAGGGGGGAAGAAGTTCCGCTTCGTTTATCTGAGCGGAGGGATGTCGGAGAGGGATCAGAGTAGGTCGTTGTGGATGGCGGGGGAGACGAGGAAGATTAGGGTATTTCCCCTCTCTTTTATTGATTATTCATACGAGATATTTTGGGTGTTTTTATGGGTTACGTTGGGATGAAGGGCATGGTACTAATGGCGGATATGCACAGGGACAAGTTGAGAACGCATTGACCGACTACGAAAAGGATAAGAACAGAAGTGTAGAAGTGTATATTGCCCGACCGGGGATGGTTCTTGCACGGGGAATGAGTTTAAGGACATTGGTCTTTGGAATGGGTCCGTCGATTTGGGTGGATGATTTGGCAAAGGTGTTGGTGGATGTTGCTGTGAAGGGGGATAAAGATGGGGAGAGGGTATTGGAGAATGAGAGGATGTTGTGGTGGGAGTTTTGATTCTATTACTGTGCTGACTGTGCGATCTAGTAGTTCGGTGGTCTGAGAATATTTTCGATTTGTGAATTTATTTGTTATATCGCTAATGAGAATTTGCGATCGCATGCAATTCCTATCTATACTGGTAGATGTGGACGGGACGGGATGATTCCTAGCAAGCATTGATGTTAGCTGCTGCAGTTGACAACATGATAATGTGACAAAATGTGAATGGTAGAAGCCTGTCAGAGACCCGTCTTGAATAGGTACAATTTTTTTTCACCACAGAGAAAAAAGTGAACAATATTTAAGTAAGGGATGTCGGACATCATAGGACTGTAATGGTGTTGATCATGGAGAGGGGGAGGCGAATAGTGACATACCGACCAGTCGGGTGGCTTCCCTGGTTTCTGACTGAAAACAGGGAAGCAGGAACCTTCCTAAGGAAGTTTGAGTTTCCTTGAGCAAAGTGCTTCTTTTTATATGAAGTTGGGATTCTTTGCCGTTCGCTGATCATGACAACGATGGCTACTCGTGTAGGGAGTATAAAACCATGCCAGGATGTCCAGCTGTGATAGTTGCAAGAGCTGCATTCTATTTTACGGTCGCATTTAAATAGTTACCCCTTGTGTCGTGACTAGGGTCGTGGCCCTATCCCCTGTTTTCATTGTTTTCAGTGTTTTCAACCTTGTTTTCAATGTTTTCAGTAATGTTTTCATTGTTTTCAACTCGCGTGGACCATGTGGTTGCAGGCACCATGATGGCGGTTTGCACTGTGATCAAGACTACGGAGACAGCCGGAAAATGGTTCCTGTGCTGTTTTAATTTGCCAACCCGCTCTGCCAGTTGACAGCTGATAACAGCTATCTTGAATACTAATCAATGTCTATCTTTATTATAAGAGTTTAACCTGAAATCTGTTCGCATGATTTATGATCCGGCGTTGAATATTCCATTATCCGATCTCCATCTCCACTGCCATATCCACAAGACAACTCCTCCCGAGCTAGCACTGCCACACGCAGTTTCAGGCATTCTCCTTAAATATCTGCCGTATTAGATCCGCCAATTTCTGTACCTCGTGCGTATTCCAAGGCATGGCGTGATGGTAATCTACCTCGTACAATTTCTTGGTTTTCGAGTCATAATATTTCGCGTACTGGAGTCGGCTGAGCGGCAGTACCCAGTCCTTGAGCCCGTGGACATGCAATGTAGGCAGCGAGACTGTGTTATCTTCAAAGTTGAAGTCTGCAACATGTCAGTATGTCCTTGACAAAAGCTGCCTGGATTGGGCAGGAAGAAGGCAGCACTTCTCACAGGCGATCATTACTCCGTGAAGAAACGTTAACAGATAGGAAAAATAAGCAAACGTACGTTTCGAAACCTCCGATTCCAGCGGTGCCCCGGCCCCCATGCAACAAACACCGAATTTCAACTGGATCCCCTCATTCGCATCCCAGCCCGAGGCAGCTCTGCGTTGCTGATCCAACAACAATCCCCCTACAACTCTGGTTCCTTGACTAAATCCCATAGCACCCACCCATGGACCGGCTGGCTCGTCTTGCTCTCGGTCATTTTGCACCATCAGCTTCAGAACCCTCTCGATCCCGTCCCGGCCAACATCGTCATATCCACTTCCATCAACGAGTTCCTTGCCGTCGCTGTCATTCGTCACCCATGATTTGTATGGCTCGTAGCCGCGGAAGGCGGGGAGGACGCCGGGACCGGCGTCGCGAGTGTAGGGACCGTCGAAAAATACGAATTCAAAGTCGTTTTCGAGCAAGTTGGCGAGGCGCGAACATTGAATCTTGTAGATTTCGCCTTTGGAGCCACCGCCGTGGAAGCAGGCGATGCGGGGGCGGGGTTCGGGAGGGAACATTCTGAAGGTGGTGTAGAGTGAGGAGTATTAGGGTTGGAGGTTGGAAGAATATAGTCTGTCTCCCAATATAAGCAGCGATAAAATAGAACTTGCGATGCTAGAGTTTGCGAGTTGAGATGAGTTGAGGCGACTTGCGAGACGGTGAGGGATCGCGAGGGGCATGGATGGTCATGTGAGATTTTAGCTGCAAGTTTCGGGGGCCAAACATTCTTATTGGCGCCGGAGTATCTTTTCTGGATAAATCCTGCATTGCGATTGGATCCTTCTGTCAGTTGAAGATATGTCTTTCCTGGTATATAATTACAAAGTGATATTGTTACGGACTATGGAGTACTACGCAGTTGTATAATCTACAATGGGTAATGATGGTCCCACCGCGAACCAGAAATCCAATAAACCACTCCAAAAGCCCTTTCCCCGGACATTCCCCGACACCCCACGAACCCCCGCACCAGCAACAAAACCACTGACACCAAGGCAGCAGCAGTTCCTGTTCACAACATGTCCCAAACTACCCTTCAACTTCTAAAGATCACCCCTTTACATCCACCACTATGTCCAAACGCATCATCATCACCGGTGGCTCCGGTAAAGCCGGCCAATTTATCATTGCCCACCTCCTCACCCAAAACTACGACATCCTCAACCTGGACCTGAACCCACTTCCCACTCCCCTCAGTAACAAAGTCCATACCCTCAAAGTTGACCTCACCGACAATGGTCAAGTCCATGGCGCCCTGCACTCCCATTTCCATCTCACCGAACCCTTCCGTGAACCCCTCCGCTGGGTCCCCGATGCCGTCATTCATCTAGCTGGGTACGCACGGAACATGATCGTCCCTGATAACGAGACATTTCGAGGCAATACTCTCTCCACCTATAATGTGATCGAAGCTGCATGTCGGATAGGCGTACCGAAGATCATAACTGCCAGTTCACTCTGCGCATACGGGGTTGCTTTTGCAGAAGGGGATGTCGATTATCCTTCGTTCCCGGTTGACGAGGAGGTAGATACGAACCCGATGGACGTGTATGGTCTAACGAAAGTTATCGGGGAACGTACGGCGCGGAGCTTTGCTCGGCGGTTCGGGACTGATATCTATGTCATGCGACTGGGAGCTATTGTGGCGCCGGAGGAAATGCGGAGTCGGTTTGAGGAGTACGTGCATTCGCCGGAGCAGTACAAGGTGCATGGATGGGCGTATACGGATGCCAGAGATATCGGGCTGATGTTTGAACGGGGCATTTTAACCGATGGATTGGGATTCCAGGTCTTTAATGCGGTGAATGACGAAATTACGAATACTTCAAGCACGACGGAGTTTTTGCAGAAGATGTGTCCCAATGTTCCGATTACGAGAGAGATGGGGGAGAAGGAGGCCCCAGTGACTAATAAAAAGATGAAGGAGTTGTTGGGCTTTGAGCAGAAACACCGGTGGCAGGATGATTGTCTTCAGAAGTGAAGGATAAATGGTGGTGCAGAACAAGGTATCCGATGGGAGAATAGGTCGTAGACATAGATAGCTGCCTCATTCATAACCATAGCAATGGCTTAACGTGGTCCTCCGGGTGGACAACATGACATAGCATATGTCTGCATAATTATGTCCTTTCCTCGAGCCCTTCATTTCAGGTGCATAAATGTGACCCTGTCAGGCCCACTGGCAGCTCGGAGTTAACAATCAGGCCACGCAGCAAATAATGTGTGTCTAGCTGAGACAGTCCGAGGCACTTTGGTTAACGGTAAACCCAATGCGGAAATCACTAAAATAGCCGCGGCTCAAGGCCCTCTTTTTGGCGGTTGAACCCGATATTGCCGAAAAGAGATGATGGCAGTGCATCGATGCCACCGAGATTTTCATGAGCTAAAAAGAAAAAAAAAAAAACTGTGCCGGGCAACTGAACGTACATATGTCCAGTACAATCCTCCAACTTTCTCAATTGTTTTTCGTATCATCATGATATGGCATACATTGAAAGGATATCCCAATTGGGTTACCGGAGAGCCCGTGGCCGGTACCGATGACTAAGCGGCAGGACCGAGCCGGATGTCTCGGTGGCGCGTCAAACCTCAAAGGGATTGTCATGTTCTGCTGTGCGGATATGCGCGCAGCCCCATTGACATCCCATTGCTCGGTTTAGCTCTTGCCTTAGGCGGTCCATAGCACCTGCTGTCATTTTTGCTGATTGGACCCCACTCGCGCTTTTGTCCCTGGGATCCCTTGGATCGACATTGTAACATGCAGGCGCGCGTGCCGGAGTCCAGCCCTACCCCCGAGGGGGATCGGTATGTGCCCCTTCGGCGTACTGCTCGGGCCTGTGACTCGTGCCATCGGAGAAAAGTAGGTTGCGCTTCGGGTGTCCACTTTCAGTCCAATTTGCAATAGTCTATTAACCTTTCCCGCGGGTCAGATCCAATGTGATACATCTGTCCCCTGTAATTGGTGCCGCCACCATAATCTGGATTGTACCTTTGATAGGCCTGTTGGCGGAAACAAACGAAAGAAAACCACTCAACCCGCCAATCCGAGGTGAGATTGTATGTTTTGTTCCATGTGGCATGCCACTAACTCCTCAGACCTTTGAGACGACCTCACCAGGAAGACCTGGAGGACAGGGTGCGGAAGCTTGAAGAGCTTCTCACACGGTCGATCTCGACCACACAGCACCCAAGGAACTGTCTTTCCTTACTGGAGAAAGGCCATCTGGATACTGAACAGTCTCCGAGCTTGGCTGGGTCGTCGGAGCTGCCTATTCAAACGGATAATCCGGCTCCTAGTAGTGGCCTACTGTTCGGGAAGATCCACTTTGCCGGTCACTATGTGGGTGAGATTCGGTCATATAGTGGTATCCCTTGCTTCTCACAATCTGGGCACGAGTGGGTGCAGTCCTGTACTGGAGAGCCTGGCACATTCGAGGATGTCTGGTCGCACAAGTACCCAAACCAGGTCCCTCACCTGACGACTCCCCACCCGCAGAATGGTTACAACCACTCTGTCACACCGGACCTTCCAGACCGGTCGTTGGTGGAACAGTACGTGAGCCACTTCTTCACTTCTGGTGAACGTATGGTCTTTCCGGTGGTGGATGAGGTTCTCTTCCGGGATACCGTGGAGCTCGCGTATCGACCATGTCAAGGGCCGCCGCCTGTGGAATATGCCCGGGCTAGAGCGTGTATCTTTGCATTCCTTTCATTCATTGCCGAGCTTGATCCGTCCCCAAGTCTTCCCCCGGTAGATCCTCCAGTCTATGCTGCCAAGGCACAAAGCCTTCTCCCGTATATTCTGCACGATGTCAGTGTACCTACGTTACAAACCATGGTTATGCAGGTGAGGACTGACCCCACCCACTCACGGCCAAGCACCGATCTCATTGATTGCGACTCCAGGCTATATACCGAACATTCACAGGCGAACTACAATTAGCCAACCAATTTCATTCCATGGCATGTCGGGTCATGTTCATGCTTGGTGGAGAGACAAGCGAGACGGTAGACGCGTTCCGAGAGTCCTCAAAAGATCCCCAGGACCGGAAATGGCGATCTCAACGAATGCTTCGTCGCTTATTCTGGCTCTGTTATGGCTTCGACAAGGAGATATGTTTCCGGTCCGGCCAACCGCCAGTTATCCACGATGACTACTGCGATCTCACACTTCCACCGAATTATACCGAAATTCAATACCCCAGCACGGAGGGCAATCCTATCCGCTACGACGACATGACCATACCCATCTTTCCGGGGGATCTACGACTGACGATGCTCAAGTCTAAAACCTACCGGACACTCTACTCTGCCAAAGCGCTGCGCAAGTCCGACGCCCAACTGCTGCAAGATATCCGCGAGCTTGACGACGAACTTGAACAATGGCGCCTAAATGTACCACCCGGGCACCGTCCAACCCTCGGGACTTTCCAGGAACAGCATCCGATACCAATATACCGCATGCAACCGATTGTCATCCGACTGGAATATCATTATATGATGTGCACCATCCATCGCGCCAGTGGTCGATGTGAAGCCTGGGGTCAACAATGGAGAAGTTGCCAGAACGGAATGATGGAGGGTGTGAATTCAAGCATGCTCCTAGCCGTGGAGGCTAGTCGGTCCTCGCTGCATTTTCTTCGTACGGTCATTGGCTCAGTGCGTCCTGAGGCTTTTTGGTGCGTTGTCATATGATTTATCATGGCCCGATCTATCAGTACTAACATGGCACCTAGGATGATTATCTTCTATCCCATGTCCGCCATCCTCACCATATTTTGCAGCATTTTAGCGAACCCACTTGATCCATATGTCGAAGAAGATCTACATCTACTGAAGGTGGTCCCGGACCTTGTCAGGGACGTGCGACGACGACGCACGTCGGAAGTAGAGATTGCACATATGCAAACAGTCACGGATTTCGTGGCTGAGTTGATCCGACTTGGCCACTGCGCTATTGAAAAGGCTCGTCGGAGCCAGAGGCAGCTCACCCAATCGTGACGTCTCCTTCCTCATTCAGGCATTTGTAGATGTCTATTCCCCTGAGAGCTTTACAGTTCTCCCCTTCTTGTTGATATTGCTTACTGGAGTCATTGCTCAAGATACCCATGTATTATGACTTTGAAGTCACCGCCATGTAGTATGGCGCATATGCGCGAGTGTATATTGAGTTAGGTTTGGATATTGGGCTGCAATCATTATGCTAGATTTATTCATACAAATAGAATTATACACAAACCAATTCTGTGATTTTGTCTTCTGGTCCTGTGAACTGGTCGGTGTCGGGGACTCGCTTAACCCCATTCTAGGGATAAATGTTCTCGACTTCTTATAGCGCTCCAACATGTTTCAAACAATAGATAGGCAATGATGCGCACCGTGATAGAACATTAGACCCGTGAGTCACTATTGGGTGCCTACATAGTGCTACTGATCAAGACCATTAGTTTCTCTCAAATTCCTCATTCTTTGCCCTCGCTACCCGCTTTGTCAGCTTCACCGACACTTGGCCGAGGGA